GTATTCACTGCTGGTTATATTAATGGCCTTTCTGGAAGAAAAACAGGAATTTAGTGATAAAGGGTATAGTTAAGTTTTCTTGTTGCTATGACCCGACAAGAAGTAACTTGAGAAGTAGGGTTTATTTTGGCCCACAGTTAAAGAAGGGACACAGTGCCCTGTTCTGGGAAAGGCAGCATGAACTGAAGTCCAGTGGGCCCCAGTACACTGCTGGTTATATTAATGGCCTTTCTGGAAGAAAAACAGGAATTTAGTGATAAAGGGTATAGTTAAGTTTTCTTGTTGCTATGACCCGACAAGAAGTAACTTGAGAAGTAGGGTTTATTTTGGCCCACAGTTAAAGAAGGGACACAGTGCCCTGTTCTGGGAAAGGCAGCATGAACTGAAGTCCAGTGGGCCCCAGTACATCTGCAGTCAGGAAGGAGAGATGACAGGCTAGCAAACCTTGAGGTCTGCCCCCAGTGATTCACTTCCTCCAGCAAGGCTCCTCTATCTTCCAAAACAGCTGCCACAACTGAGGATCAGGTGTTCAAACTCCTGAACCTATGTGTGTGGGGTAAGGGGTTTGGGAGGGGGGGAGAGGGGAATGGGAAGTGTGGGGTCAAAGGGAATGGAGTGTAGTGGGGTCAGAGGGGAGTGGGGGTGGGGAGGTATTCACATCCAGATCACAACACTAAGTTACAAGGAAAATTATGGACACAGCAGCTTTGTATTAAAGGAAGAAGTTGGGTAGCTCAACAGTGAATGCAATTAGTGTAACTGTATGTGAGGTAAAGGGTTAACTGGAAAGAAATTTCAAGAATTTGGACCTGAAGAGGGAGCTGCAACAGAGCTTATTTATTTAAATAGCTCACAAGAATCTGCCATCATCTCCCCCTATCCCCGACCCCAAGGCTAACCTCAAACTCTACAGACTGTTCACCATTTGTAAACTGCCTCTCAACTGTACTTGAATTAAAGTCCACCGCAGCACATTTTATGCATGGTCTTTCCTTCTTTCTTTCTAAAACAACTTTCTCAGGCAGCAGTGACAGACTCTATGGAATGCCTAAGCCTCAAGGATAAAAACGAATCTCATAAAAAGGAGCCCATCCTGAAGAGCCCTGATGATACAGACATGAAACGGAAAGGGATAGGCAAGTCCCGGAAGTTCTCCAAGTTTAGCCTCTACAGGCAGCTGCACCGACACCATCTGCATAATGCTGACAGCATCAGCAGCATCGACAGTGCATCCAGTGAGTAGTCACGGTCCCTGTCAGAAGTTCTCTGACTGGGCTGCAGTCTCCCACAGTCAGTCCCTGCATACGCACTTTAAAAAAAAAAAAAATCCGTGGTGGCGTTCAGTTACCAAAGGGCCAAGATTGCTGCCTTATGGCTGTCATTTTTTTGTTGTTGTTGTTGTTGAGACAGAGTCACAAGTAGGCCTGGCTAGCCCAGAACTCACTATGTGGCCCTGCCTGACCTTGAACTTCTGATCCTCCCAAGCGCTGGGATCACAGGCATTGCATCACCATGCTTGTTTTATGAGGTGCTGGGGGTCAAACTTGGGGTGCTCTCCATGCTATCAACTGAGCTGCATACCCCATCCCCGGTCTCATTTTTGAACAGATTTATTAGTTTAGTCACGCAAAGTAGTCATAACAACCACTATTTATGCTTTCAATGGTCACACAGTGACTACAGCTTTCTAAAATATGGCCATAAAGGAAAAAAGCAAGATGTTAGATGTCCTTTATAAACTTCTTAGAAAAATTTACATTTCTCTTCCCACCTGGAAATACATCAGATTGTATCAGCAAACGTCAGATATTCCATATGCTATGAATTTACTGTTCTTTGCAAATCTATCTTAAAACCCTGCAATTTCCTGTTGCATTGAATCTTATGGCTGGTTTTATAGTCCGTGCTCATATTAAAATGAATAAGCTTACCGTCCAGTTCATAAGATTTGATATATAAATATGTTTCTTTATAAAGCAAAAAGAATTCTTGACTTTCTCCAGGTTATTTTAGCCACTGTAGAAGTCATCAGAATTTAATCCATGGTTTAAAGCCCCACTTGAAACTCTTTCGCCCTTCCAGTGAGTCCAAGCAGGGACGCACTAGGCACAGTGCTGGTAAGTGACCTTCAAGGGGCAGAATCCCACAGGCTTCAGCTTTTGTTGCATTGTCCGTTGCATGAGCACAGTGAGTGTGTGTTCAGATCGCCTGTCTGCTCAGTCTTCATGCCCTGTGTGTTAGGCAGTACCTGCTCGGTGCAAAGGGCAAGCTTGGGATTTCTGAGAACCTGCAGTCTAGCAGCAAAGTAAAAACACACAGAACAACCCTCTAGCACCAGGCACACGCACAGCTCTGTGGGAAGTTGAGGACTTCCTCTGTGCTGCTGACCCAGAGAGGCTTTTTGAGGAGGGAGCCTATCAGTTGGGCTGCCAGAAATTCAATGGGAACAGGTGAGCACAGGAATTGTTGCAGGTGAAGGAAACAGCCCAGCAAAAAACCCTGGAATGGAAAAGACCAACATGTTAGCTGTTAGAAAATACCCCTTTCTGCTAAGATGCAGTGACTGATGTTGGGTTGGAAATATATATACATCGTCACAGAGTCCTAGACAAAGTTGGAAAGATATATTATTTGCTTTAAAATCTTGAAAGCTTTTGAATGGAAGTGTCATGCTGTACCTGAAAATGTTCAGAAATTGTTTTCTGATACCTTTTATGGGAAGAGTCACATACTCGAGGAATGAATTAATCAGGGCCTAAATTGTGGTGAAGGGAATGAAGAAAGATTTAGTGACTGACCCGATACAGGCATGAGGAACCAGCACAAATAAAGAGAGTGAAATCACCAGCCAAGTGTTACTTTGTGCAGACTGACTCACACTGCCCCCAGAGCTTTAAGTGCTCAAAAGGAATATTGGTATCTCCTTCTCACAGACGAGGAAACTTGATTAGGAATAACAGACCTACCCAGTGTAGTCCCAGCTCATCAGCATCCTCATGATCAAGATCCAGAGTTGTGACCTCACAGAAATGCAAACTCTGCACTCTGACCTTTGGGAGTCCCAAAGGCCAAAGTTTTATTAGGGAGTCAGAGCCCAGCTGACAAGCACGACGAACCGTCAGTGAACCTGATCAATGAAGCTGCAGCTTGAACAGTAGTTTCCAGAATTCTTTACAAATCCAGCATTTAAAAAGTATATTTATTTGTGAATGGGTATGTATGTGTGCATGCCATGGTGTACATGGGGAGGTCAGGGGACAATTTACAAGAGTTGGTTCTAGCCTTCTACCATGTGGACCTGGGGATTGAACTCAGGTCATCAGGCTTGGTGGCAAGTGACTTTACCTCCTTAGTCATCTCACTGGCCTGGACCCAGCATTTTTAAGAAATGTATTAGCTATGGGTAATGAACCATATTAACTGATAATTTTATATTTTGTAAATCCTAACAACACTGATACACATTTAAAAGTGGAAAACACATATAGGATATGTTTTAGTTATTTTGCATAAGGCTAGTAGTTGGTGGGCATATGGATTGTAATGACTGTGCCTAAGTGAGTTTCAATGTCCTGAGGGCCAGAAGCCTCTGGAAAACCCAGAGGATCAAGTCAGGGGTACTCGCAGCTGTAAATATTAAGTCAAGAGCAGGTCTGGGAAGTGTTTCTTCCTTCCAGCATGTGCTTGCTGCTTTAGAATTGAACATGAGGTAGAGGAATGAGGTGGTTGAACTGTGAACGGTTCTGAATTGTGACCATTAGGGGTGTTCACAACAGGAGCCAGTGGGAGCAAGACAAGTAGGTATCTAGCACGTTAAGTGACTCAGGCTAACCTGCTGAGGGTGTGGGAGCCACACCGGGGTTGTGAGGACACAGCCCGTCTGGCTTTTCTGTTGTTGATAGAAGGTTGCCTTGGTTTCCATTCATTTCCTCTCCATGTGTTTAAGAGACAAAGAGAAAGTAAACAACCTAAATTTTAGACTAGGGCAATGATAGGAATCATAGCGAACGCATGAGTCGTTCCTTAATGGGATTGTGTGGTCGTTAAAATCTCAAGTGAGCATATAAAGCTGGAGACGGGTGTGTTTACCTGAATTAAGATGCACTGAGCTTCTGTGACTTGCCAACCACCGTCCCAAGAACTACTGGTGAGATGAAAGTAGCAGATGAAATGCCCTTAACGAGCTGAGGAGTTAAAGATGGGGATTACATATGCAAATAAACCACAGCACACAGAATATCCGGCAGGCAGCGGTAAGAATCATAGAGATCAATAGGAGGGAAAGGCAGAGGGAGGGAGAACGTGCTCTTTTACATAATGCAGTGAAAGAACGGGACTCTTGTGGTGTGAGTTTCAACTCCAAAAGGAAGAGGAGAAGGAGAAAACCTGTCCCAGGTGGGGAGTGGGTGGACCTGGAGAGACTGCTCAATGATTAGGACATTGGCTGCTCTTGCAGAGGATCCAGATTCAGTTCCCAGAACCCACCTGACAGCTAACAACCATCAACTTCAGTTCCAGGGGATTCGATGCCCTCTTCTGGCTTCCAAACACATTGCATGACACAGGTGCACTGACATTCACGCAAAATATTCGTACACATGCACATGAAATACAAAAATATAAATAACTCTTTTAAAAAAGAAAAGAAACTCTCTGGAGACACAGACAAGTAGACCATCAAGTGCAAGACTCTGAGGCAGGGAGAGGGTTGGTGTGTTCTAGAAATGTGACTGCGGAGCTGAGGAGAATGTTAGGGAAAGCAAGAGAGATCGGGGGCTGGGTGGATTGTAACAGCCTTGTGGGCTACCATAAGAGTCTGGCTTCTGAGGAAGTCCTGGGGAGAGTCTTCAACAAAGGCGGGTGACATTTGACTCAGGTTTTTATATCTTTAGTGATAAAAATAATAGAAAATTTATCAAAATATGAGATTACAACCTTACATATACATTTAATAGAAGCAAAACACACATATTTATATATGGGAAATTATCCAACCAGTTTATCATTAGAAAAATATAATTTAAATTTTAAAGTTGTATTTGGGCTAGAGAGATGACTCAGTGGTAAAAAGCACTGTTGGGGACTGGAGAGATGACTCAGCAGTTAAGAGCACTGGCTGCTCTTACAGGGGACCCAGGTTTGGTTCCCAGCACCCACATGGCAGCTAAAAATCATCTATAACTTCAGTTTCAGAGTATCTGACACACTCTTCTGGCATCTATGGGCATTGCACACATGTGGTGCATTGACATACATGCAAGCAAAACAATCATATCTAAAGAAATACAATTTTTAAATGCTGTATTATATGCCCTCTAAATTATTAAAAGTGTTCATTTGACTTAGGTTTTTGTATTCTTCAGCAAAAACCAAGTGGTGCTGATGGTAGGGCAGTGGATTAGTTCCTGTTCTCATTGCTATGACAAAGACCTATTAAGGGAGGAAGAGTTTATTCTGGCTTCCAGTTTGATGGGACAGTCCGTCGTAGCTGGGAAGACGTGGTGACAAGGGCCTGAGGCAGCTGGTGAGACAGCTGGTCACACTGTGTCTGCAACCAGGAAGCAGAGAGAGGTCCGTGCTCGTGCCCAGCTCCCTTTTTCTCTTTTATTCAGTCTAGGGTCCCAACCCAGGGATGGTTCTGTCCTCATTCCAATGTGGGTCCCCTCCTCAGTTAGACATCTCTGGAAACACCCTCATTAGATACACACAGAGTTGTGTCTCCTAGGTGATTCTAAATTCAGTCACGTTAACAACACAACTTCACCATCACAAGCAGGTGCTGAATATATTTGCCAGTGTCCTGGATGTGGGATGTAAGAACTGGACAGGACTCCAGGGCTTTGGCCCCTCTGAAAAGGCAGCGTTTGCATGGGCCAACCTGTGCGAGGAGCAACAGAAGAGGCAAAGCTTTAGGCTATCATCATTCTATACAAGTGTGCCCCTGAAAGAGGCTATGAACATAAAATGACACCAGCTATGTTATGAAGATGAGATACAAATAGATTCTTTAATCTGTTTTCACGTTGTTGACATCATTTTGTATTGTTTTTATAGTCAAACATATACACAATATTTTAATGCAAGAAATATGTTTACTGACAAAGCAAAGCTGAAGGGTAATTGAGTCTCTTGAGAGCAGTGTTTCCCAGATTCCATTCCCTGGATCCTTGAGTGTCTCAAAATCTCTGTGATGGAGAAGGATGGGGAAGGGGCTCCACTGACCTCCACTTCTATTGACACATGCTCCACCCCATAATCCTCCACTAGCATCGTGTAGAGAGTTCCTGTGTGTGTGTGTGTGTGTGTTGAAGGAAAACAAAAATATAAAGGAAATTCAAGGTTCCGCAAAAGACAAATAATAAAGGAAATTTAAGAAGCATGTCTCTAGATTTAAAGATGTGAACTTGTGTAGACATATGGTACTTGAGACATACGGAGTGCAGAGTGAGTGACTCTTTGCTGAACATACAAGACTGCGTATCAGCCTGAGGGACCAAGCAGGCCTTTTGCAGGACCCTTTTATCTGACTGTAAAAAGGCATGTAGGACTTCCAAGATATCTTACTACATGGGTCATCATACAGGGTACAGGCAAGACCACTGTGGACTTTACAGAGAAAGATTGCACTCAAACTGATTTGTCTTAATATGGTTAGCAACAGTGGTAGATTCTCTAATAGTATTTTAATTTAAAAATTAATTAAACCATGATCAAGAATTTCTTTTTCCTTTCAGAATTATGTCATAAGAGGGAGAATTTGAGATTGACATGGCTTTACTTGACATTATCTGTTTCAAATAGAAAATTTGACCCTTCACATTCAGGAACTGTTTGCTGATCTTCTTTGAAGCAGGAAAGTCATTTTTGTAATTCAGTTAGGCAGGATTTTAAAATTCTAATATCAGAAGGATAATAAACAGCAAGTTAAGCTGTTTCTAGACTCTTCCTGGATGCAGTGTATAGGATGTATAAGGCTTCTCTTGTGACTTCAAGAGGCTTATCTCAACGAGGGGTGGAAGCAAAGTTTGTAATCCCAGCAGAGGCAGGAGAATAAATTCAAGGCTAACCTGGTATACACAGTGGGTTTAGGGCTGGAGATACGTAGACCTTGTCTCAAAAAAAGTATGGTTTGGGAAGTAGTGTTGGGTAGGGTATGGTAGAGACAGTTGGGCAGGTATTTAGCTTGGAATGAGTAACCCAACAGGACCTCCATTTTATGTGATGCTGGTAATTTTAGTGTTAAATTTGATTCTAAGATTTTTTTTCTTTTTGTAGATGTATTTTGTTTTTAAATATGTATATATGTGTGCCTGTGTTGGGGGGGGGTGCATGTGAGTACCGGTACCTGAGAGGCCAGAGGAGAGTCAGAGCCCCTGGCGCTGAGGTTACAACTGGTTGTGAGCCACATGATGTGAGTGCTAGGGACTGAATTCGGGCCCTCTGTAAAAGTAGTAAGTGCTCTTAACCACTGAGCTGTCTCTCCAACCAGACTTCAAAGTTTGAAAGGTAAACTGTGTGAGATGAGGCACTGGAAGTGACTGTAGATTTGTTGCTCAAAAGAGAAGCCAGGCCCAAAGCAGTACAACGGAGGGTCATACAGGAGACAGAAGCTGGGGGAGACTGGCAGTGAGCAAGAGCTGAGAAGATGAAGAAGGGGAGCTAGACAGGTGGGAAGGGTGGTGCTTCGAAAGCTAAGAGATGGGGCCAGGAGGAGGAGGATGCAGCGAGGCCTGGAGACACTGGACAAGGGCAGGAAGAAGCCTTTGTTGTATGGGCTGTTGACAGGTGAGGGTACTGAAAATTGGCATTAGACCCATAAGGTCAAGGAAGACATAGTTATGAAGTCGTTTGTGATCCAAGCATGGTCCCTTGATGGTCCCTCGACCCATCATCGCTGATTCTCACAGATGTCCAGTGCTGAGGCAGTGGCTTGGTTGCCTGGATGTGTTATGAGATGGACCATCTTGGCTAGTTGAGGCCTTGACTAGAAATGAAAATAAATTTGAATTGTGAGAAGTCGAATTCAGTTAGTACCAAGATCATTTTCTGAGACTAGGAATTTACTTTTGTTTTCCAAAATATAAACCTATCGTGGTAATTTTTCAAGAAGTATGAGAGTATCTATGTTGAAACCTTAGCTTTATCTCTCAGATTGATGAAAATAAATTATACATATGCAATCACCACACAATACCAGTTGGTATTGTATGCCAAACTTAATTACATGACTGTGTTTTAAAACTTTTTTATTACATTTTAATTTTGTGTGTGTGTGTATGTGTGTGTGTGTGTATTGCACACAGTGGGCTTATGGGGGTCAGAGCACATCTTGTGGGAATCAGGTCTCTTATTCTGTTTTATGAGGTTCAGGAATTGAACCCAGGTCGTCAGGTTTGATGGCATTGAGCCACCTTGCTGGCCCTGTGTTTTTTAGATTTGGAATTTGAACCACCATTTATTTCATTCCCTCTCTCTCTCTCTCTCTCTCTCTCTCTCTCTCTCTCTCTCACACACACACACACACACACACACACACACATACACCCACACACACACAAAATGTAGAGTGCTTACTCTGAGCAAACAGCTCACCCGTGCCTTCTCCCCCAGGGCTTGTCCAGCAGGAAAGCCAATCACAGGGAGGGAGAAGTCAATAGGAATTGATTTTTAACATTATCTGGTTTTGTTAACTCTGACAGTTTAAACCATTTTTCTTTCATAGAATATTTCAATCACCTTTGGAAAGTTAGTTATTAAGTTTGAGACAGAATATTAGTTGTATGTGGTAACTGAATAAAAATATTTGTTCTACAAATATTTATTAATTGCTTCTTGGATGTTGAGAGCTATACCAGGTGGCGAGGCCATTTGATGCCCACTCTGAGAAGTTGATGGACTACTGGGGGAGGAATAGTGACTGGGTTTCTGTATCCTTATGCAATTGCGTGGAAGGACCAGAGGCCTAGGAGGACAAGTTCCAATAGGACAACAGCAGTGTGAGTTGTGTCTCTCCTTGCTGGCATTTGTGAGATCTCTCTCGAGGGCTGGTGAGACAGCTAATAAAGAATGTATATGAGATCAGGCCAAAGGGAAGAAAGAACAATCCAGGCAGAATGGGTACCATGCAAACTGCATGGAGGCCAGGCTGACCAGGCTGCCAGAATATAATGAAAAATGAGACATGCTGAGGCCCGGCTGGGTCAAGGGAAAGCCAGGAAGAGTAAGAAGATTGGTGTCAGTTTGGGAAGCACCTTCTATGCACTTGTAGATAATAGGAGATTCTAAAAAGGTTTTAACCAACAAAGTTTCATTTTACAAAGACAGTTCTGGAGCTATTTGGTGGTAATGGTACACTGGCCAGTCTACACCCCTTACTGGCTACTTCAAGTGGTGTCATTTATTCATTCAACAAACATTCTTGCACCGCACACCTATCTGTCAAGTGCCTCTTTTGTGCCAAGCACTGCAACTGTGATATGCCATTATTTTCCTCCTGCTCAGATGTCCTTATGTCTGGCATATGGCTCCTAAACTTACAGACCGTTTCACTCTTTAAGGTATGAACTCTTAAGTAGAACAGTCTTGTTTGGTCTTTGTGAAATGCTACTATAAGCTGCTAACTTTTATGCCTCAATTGTAAGCTTCTGTCTGTGGTTGTTATATTATTTGTGGAAGATGTTTATGATTTAGGAATGTAGAATGTTGGAGGCCAAAAGATCTTAACCATCATCTAGGCCAAATCATACCTTTTACATGGAAGGATTTATGACCCAAAAAGTTGAAGTTCAGTGTCACGTAGCTAGCTGATTGTAGGACTAGAACATGGGTTGCCGGTAATATGCTTGTAAATAGGAGGTCCTTTATTTTTGAGATGGAAAAATGAGGGTTATAGATGAAATGTCCACCATGTCAGTGAGGGAAGCAGTGGCCTGGGTCTTGGTGCATCATCCTGGTCTATCCCTATCCTCACCTGGCTTTACTGTTCCTGTAATCCTAGCTCGGGAGTTCCTTCTTTATAGTTAACCCAGTTCTGCCCCTGATCTGGCAAGTGTTGAGAATAAGCCCATGAGTGCTAAATTCCAGAGTCTACTTATGACTCTAGATAGGACCTCCATTGCCAAAATAAAGATAATTTTGTGAGGGTTGGAATTCCTTGTCAGCCCAGAGCCTCTGAGCACATGGACACACACTGCCCTAGCGGCAAGGTTCAGGAAGAAAAGTGAAGGTGTTTAGTAAGGAAACAGGGGCCTCCCTCTCCAAACCCACATGACCCTGGATCTCTGAATGGATCTTGCTGCATTCACAGACACTGGCTCCATCCGCAGTGTGCAGACAGGAGTGGGTGAGCTTCACGGGGAGACCAGGTTTTGGCACGGGAAGGATTACTGCAACTTTGTCTTCAAAGACTGGGTTCAACTGGACAAGCCTTTTGCTGGTGAGTATCAGGAAAGTGAGCTGTGGGTAGTAGTTTGTTTTGTGCTTTTATTTTATGTATGTATGTATGTGTGTGTGTGTGTGTGTGTGTGTGTGTGTGTGTGTGTGTGTGTCTGTGATTGTGTGCAGATGTGTGTAGCACACATGGAGACCAGAAGATGGTGTCAGATCCCTTGGGGCTGGAGCTACAGGCATTTGTGAGCTGCCTGGCATGCGTGCTGGGACCCAAATTCCAGTCCTCATGATTGAGAACAAGTGCTCTTAACCACTGAGCCGTCTCTCCAGCCCCATAGCCTTCTTTTGATGGTCTTCTTTTATGCTTAATCTCTTCATCTTCCTACATTAGAGCGGCGCATATTTAGATTATAATTGTGCTAAGAGGACATAGAGATGGCACTGAGTGCATAGTCTGCTGTTATTTCAACAAGATTTTTAAAAAAGCATACCAGACACAGCCTTAGATCATCTGTACCAGCTCACACCTAGCCTTGTCTAGTGATTAACACTGAGTGAAATGGAATGTATGTGGATGTCAGTGGGGGAATGATTGTGTTTCCTGATTGAAGATCTATGTTTCCTTTGAGCATCAATGTGTTGCTCTAACCAAGTCAAGAAATACAGGCTCAGTGGACACGAATATATATTCTTTAGTGCACTCTAGTTGGGGTCAGAGTTCTGTCCCTGGCACAGAAGCTAGTGATGGGCCCTTGCCTGCACCTGGGCAGATTTCATCGACAGGTACTCCACTCCCCGGATGCCCTGGCATGATATTGGCTCTGTGGTCCATGGGAAGGCAGCTCGTGATGTGGCCCGTCACTTCATCCAGCGCTGGAACTTCACGAAGGTACTGGTCTTGTCTGGATAGCCTATGTAAGGTGGGGAGACAGAGGTGAAGCCTAGAGGGCTGGCGAGAAAGGACTGCTATGTTCAACAGTGACCCCATTTACCAGTCATGGTGGCGCACACCTTTAATCCCAGCACTCAGGAAGTAGAAGCAGGTGGATCTCTGTGAGTTGAAGGCCAGCCTGGTCTGCATAGTGAGTTCCAGCCAGTTGGGGCTACAGGAAGACCCTGTCTCAAAAAAGACCAAAAAAAACCTTAACAATTGTGACCCCCATCTACTCTTGGGGACATCATTATCAGCATGGTAAGGCTTCTGATCATTATAAGAAAAGTGTTCTTGATCTTTTATGACACAGACAAGTCAGCATGCAAAGGGGTAGATGTAACTGCTTTCAGAGCCTGTTGATTCAAGCCTTTGAACCTTATAGACACCAGTATTAAGCATTTACAAAAGTGGGCCCAGTAGGCTCCTGGAGGGTGACTGTAGAGTCTGGGGGGTGTATTTAGATGAGAGGCTCCAACTGTAAAGTCCTTCCAGTGCTGGGCTGCTTTGGCTCGTGCTGATATAGGACTTGGAGAGACCACTCTGAGTAAGGCGAGCAGCCTGAGGGAGCCATTTCTCTTCTCCAAATGGAATCCTCTTAGGAGCCTTCTTTGCATGTAGAACTGGCCCCAACTCTTGGAAGTGTGATATGTGTCATTGGACTGGTAAGGGCCCCCTATGTTCCCTTGAAATGACCAGGCCTTCTAACCTCTGATAATTTGGACAATGGACCTAGTTGAGTTAGTTCTATGAACAACTTAGAGTCTCATTTCTTGTATCATTTGCATAAACATTATAAAAGTTTAGCTGAGAACATAGTGGAAATATTTTAAACACACCTTTAGAGGGGATAGATGAATAAACAGAGCAATATTGCTTTTGATCTCCCACACTGCTAAAGCCTAACAGCTCTGCTGATTTTGACAGCTGGAATTTTTTATACTCCTATGCCCTGATCATGGGAACATAAATTAATAAAACACTTGAAAGTACTTTTTAAGCTGGGCATGATGGTACAAGCCTTTAATCCCAGCACTCAAGAGGCAGAGACAGGTGGATTTCAGCAAGATGGAGGCCAGCCTCCTCTACATAGCAAGTCCCAGGCCCATTATGGTTACAGGGAGACCCTGCCTCAAAATATAAAACAAAAAAGCAAAAAAGAAAAACCATTTCCAGATATTTAAGCTAAAGGAAAAAGTATTTAATACTCAGAAAAAAAGTATTTCCAGACATTGAGCTAAAGGAATAATCTAATAAGGAAATTTACTTTGACATCGTTTCTAATAATTCAAACAAAATTAGACTTAGTTAAAATGCTCATTAATAGGACTAAAAAAAATAGCTTGCCTGGAACTCAAAGATCTATCTACTTGCCTCTGCCTCCCAAGTGCTGGGATTAAAGGTGTGTGTCATCACACCTTTAATAGGAATCAAATCAAGATCTGTCATGCTACTTTACTATAAAGTTGTTAAAAATAAAATAGTGCTTTATTGCTGGGTAAGATTTTTTTACAACATAGTAAAAAATTAGTTTACAAATAATAATTCCACTTTTGTGATTATTTGCCCTATAACTATAGCTTGCATTTAATTTATTGGTTTTTTGAGACAAGTTCCAGCTGACCTAGAACTCACTATGTAGACAAGGCTGGCCCCAAACTCACAGAGATCCACCTGCCTCTGCCTCCCAAGTGCTGCATAACTATAGCTTGCATTTAATTTATTGGTTTTTTGAGACAAGTTCTTGCTGTAGTTCCAGCTGACCTAGAACTCACTATGTAGACAGGGCTGGCCCCAAACTCACAGAGATCCACCTGCCTCTGCCTCCCAAGTGCTGCGATTAAAGGCATATGCCATCAGGCCTTGCACATTTAATTTTTTTTACAAACGTGAAAGAATATGTGCTTGCTGCGAAAGGTGAAAGAAGAAAACCTGGGAAATAATAAGAAAACTGATCTCCAGCTTTTCACTTAAAAATGTCCATTCATTCATATTTTTTTCTGGTCCTAATGAAGCTATATGTTTTTGTCATTCCAAAATCAGGAAGAATGGACCTCTTTCTTATTCAAATCATTTTTATTGGCATTTTCTGTTTTAGATTATGAAGCCAAAATACCGCTCCCTGTCTTATCCTTTCCTGCTCCCCAAGTCTCAAACCACGGCCCATGAGCTGAGGTATCAGGTACCCAGCTCTGTCCGCGCCAGAGTGCAGGTAAGCTTGGCTTGTCTCCTTTGCAAGGTGCCACCGGGTAATGTCGCTGTAATTGGACTAACTGGCTACTGCATTAGCTTCAGATTTTCCAATAAGCCCTTTTCTGAAGCAAATCTAAGTGACTCTTTTAAAGTTTAGTATTTTACTTCCTGTGTCAATGGATTCAGTTCACCCTCTTTCCAAAACTCATGTAATATATCTAATAAATGTATATCCTCATAGAAACCACCATCAAGGTGCAGCTGTTCCCATGATCCTTTGAGAGGTGAGCCTAGCAACATGGTACTCATGCAGCAAACATGGGACCAGCTCTGCTTAAGAATCAGAAATGGGACCATGAACTTTGCATCTGGAAAGGGAGTCATCGTTCAATCTAATCTGAAGCTTAATTAGCCAAATGCCTTTTAGAGTCTCTTTTAAGGGAATAGGAAGTTGTTAAATATAGTCACAAAATTTTCCAACCTCCAGGCCAACCACCTCAAATTACAGACAAGAGAACTCCATCCAGTGGGCTTCTGAGGCTTGTCCAGGGCCGCCCAGTAGCTATGGGCAGAAGCAAAGCTTGAAATCTAGTCCCATTCAGTGATTCTCAGTCTGTTCCCTTTGCCAGCAACAAGTCAAATGTGTTGAAAGAAGCAAGGACAGGATAAGGATGGGTGGGCTCCTTTGGCATTGCTGATAACACAGGCATTGCTCAGGCAAAAACCCAGCTCGCTTTTGCTCATGTCACCAATGTGGACTGACACCATTCAGATGGGAATCCTAGAGCATGAAGTGTCTAAACCCGTTACTTTACAGTATGTGCAAGTCCAAGTGTGTGTCTATAAGAAATAAGGATATGCTATAACCTAAGAGAATAATAGAACTATAGAGAGAGTAAACCAGGGCTAAGAAGACAGATCAGTCAGTAAATGGACAGATAATCGATCATGCACGCACAGGGATGTGAGTGGGATTCCCGTAGAGAAGCCAGATGTGATAGCATATGCTTGTAATCCCAGCACAGAGGAGGCAGAGACAGGAGGATCCCTAAGACTCACTGGCTGTCCAGCCCAGCTGAATCAGTGAGGCCCAGGCCAATGAAGGACCCTCAAAATACAAGGTGGATGGATCTGGAGGAACAACACTGAGTGTTGTCCTATGGTCTCCCTATGCATGCACACGTGTGTGTGTACCCATCTACTCATGGGCACCCCCCCAACACATTCACCAGCACATACATGTGCATATACACATACAAAGGATAAAGCACTTGAGAAAAGTGCCTAAGGTAGATATGTAGTCATCCCAGTTTAAGGAGATAATAATTTAAACTTGGAGGCACACATAGCTATGAGTTTACACATAAATTGATGAGTATTTTATGAGCCTGTTTAATTTATTCTACTGGAAAAGGAGAAAGTACTCATTCTAGAAGATAAAATAAGAATGTTGTGAGTAGGAAAAAAAAAAACCAGAATGTAAAATTTGAATTTTCATTAAAAATGGTGTGGTGGTCAACTTATCAAAGCATCTGATGTTAAGCATTTGTCAAAAATATAATTATATGGCTCAGCAGTTAAAAGCACTGGCTGCTCTTGTAGAAGACCAAAGTTCAATTTCCAGCACCCACATGGCTGCTGACAGCCGTTTGTAACTCCAGTTCCAGGGCATCCAATGCCCTCTTCTGGCCTCCATGGGCTTTGCAGAATACAGGTATACTTACATACATGCGGGCGAAACACTCATACACATTAAAAAAAAAAAAAATGTAATTGTTGCTAGGCTGGCCAGATGGCTCAGCAGGTAAAGATCTTGCTGCTAAGCCTGACAACCTAAGTTTGATTCACAGGCCCCACATGGTGGAAGGAGAGAACTGACTCCCTCATGTTGTCCTCTGACCTCAGCATGTGCGCTGTGGCAAGTGTGTGCCCAGACCCATATAAAAATAAATGAAGTGATAAAAATTTTAATGTATTGCTGAGATGTTTTAGCCTAGTTCTGATTATACCAAGACTCACTCATTCGTTCACTGATTTGAACAACATGTTTAAGTGTCATCTGTTTACACAAAAATATGTTTAGGTACTTCTGTTTGTATCATAGAGCCATTAGAGCATATTTGGGTCCTGGGGGAATCAGATCAAAAAGGATTTTGATGCCTCTGGAAACTCAGTTTGCTGAGAAGAGAAAACAGTGATGTTGGATACTTCATTTAGCAATTCAGTGTGGTCTCTGAAAGTATGGACCAGAATGCTCTGTGTGTTTGCTAACTAGGAGAGTCAGAGCTGGGTCTCTTCTCTGAGCCTACATGTTCAAAAGACAGTGGGGCCAGCTGCTGTGCTCTTGAAGAGGGTGTTGAAGCCACTGTAAGGCCAGAAGAGGGGCCCCAAGTGCTGGGCCTGGAAACTCAGTAACCTTGGAACTTTTCCTTCATCTGTGCAGATGCATGACACATGAATGTTTTATGAAGATGAACCTAGGCCAGTTTTTCCTAAACCAGTTTTGCCTGTGAAATGCTGATAGCTATTTCACAAGAAAAGGCTTCCAAGGACAGATAAGGGTTTGCAGATTTCTCTAATATAGAAAGCACAGTGCTTTGTTATGCTAATGTTTTAGGAAGCCGCTAAGGGGCTTGAGGTGGGAGCATTTCCAGAGTTTCTTTGACAGAAGATTTCTCATTTTATTTCTTCTCATCTGTTTCTGTCTGAATAAACACCTTAGGGCTTGAAGTTCATGCATATGAAGCACTTACTAGAGGAGAAAGAATGGAAGCCTGGGGCAAGAAAGGTCTGCCGCGGTGTTAATAACACTGAAGTGGCAATCCAAAGAAGGGACAAATAAATAGCGAATAATGATTGTGAAGAAAGATGGAAGGACGTGGTGATGAGAAACTCTCTGAAAACTAAGAGTGGAGGACTGAAATTAAAGAAAATTATTTCAGTGTGATCAAAGGAATCTCCACAGAGGAACGGGATGTGTGGGTCAGGGCATGAGCTGAGGTCGTTGGGGAATGCTCGGCAGCTCCATGGTAGGTCTATCTGTGCGATGCAAGTCATTGTGAAGAAAGATGGAAGGACATGGTGATGAGAAACTCTCTGAAAACTAAGAGTGGAGGACTGAAATTAAAGAAAATTATTTCAGTGTGATCAAAGGAATCTCCACAGAGGAACGGGATGTGTGGGTCAGGGCATGAGCTGAGGTCGTTGGGGAATGCTCGGCAGCTCCATGGTAGGTCTATCTGTGCGATGCAAGTGTTGTATCATAACACTGACCATAAAGACGTGAAAATGATAAAGATGCTGGATATGGCAGTGCTTGCCTGTTACAGCTGCACTTGGGAGGTGGACGCAGGAGGATGGCCCGCTAGTTCAAGGCCAGCCTGGGCTATAGAGTGAGGTCCCGTCTCAACAAAACAAAACAAACAACCTAACAGTGAGTAAGTGGTGGAAATGGGGCTCAGTTGCAAGTGGTCTGGCTTCAGCCCTGGGTCATAACTGTTGAAAGTGGTCACTGTTTCCAGTAAGACCCAGGGTGCTTGTGACCATGGAGGCCCTAGCAAGGCAAAGCCTCTTTTGTTGTTAACTTTAGGACCATCTCCTTTTGTATCTTTCTGGATCCTAGGAGGCCCCAACTTACAATTTTTTTTCCCCTAGGACTTCTCTCCCCTTGAGAAGCATTTTTTTAAAAAGAGAAATTCAACTTTTTTTCCCTCTTTTTAATTTATTTAATAACTACATAATTAGTAGAAGCATTTCATTACAACAGCATTGACATAGTAACAGTTTCCAGAGCAAAGATGCATTTCTTTCAAAATTGGCTGTAATTTTTAGGTTCACAGTGTTGAATTAACACAGGTATATGTTATTGTACTCAGTATAAATCCTGTAAGATATAAAATTAAATGAGGTTTTAACCTTTAAAAAATATCTCCATTTCATTTTAGAATATACTGTTTCATACAGAAAAAACTCAGAGAAAATCATCTTTTAAAAAATATTATTTTTTTTTATTGTATGTGTATGAGTGAGTGTTTTGCCTGCATATATGTAAGTGCATCTGTGTCATGCAATGCCTGTGGAACTCAGAAGAGGGTGTTGAATCCCCTGGAATTGGAGTTACGGATTGTTGTTTAGCCTCCACGTGGGTGTTGGGCTTGAACCCGGGTCCTCTGCAAGAGCGGCCAGTGCTCTTAACTGCTGAGCCACCTCTCCAGCCCTGAGTCTCATTCTCTTTAGATACTGTCTTTCTCTCCTTCAGCCTCAAGACCTGCTTCTTCCTTCTGTTTGGGCAAAACGGTATTCGGGAATAACTGCCCAACCATGTGAGGGACCAGCATTCAAATAGAAGGGATTGTGAAAAAAAGAGCTTGTGGGAATTAGCTGGACTTCAGGTCAATTTCTTACTCTTCCTTGACTGTGATTATCTCCAGTCTGGACTGGAAGATGGAGGCTCGGCTAAGCACTTGCCTTTTCTCCCCAAACTGTGTCACTTGGGAGCTTGTACAGCTCAGAGGCAGGTGTGTGTGTGTGTGTGTGTGTGTGTGTGTAAGTGCTTTTGTGCTAAGTAGTCTTTGCTCCATGACTGACTTGGAAACTTAGGGAAGTGAGAAGGGATGAAGGTATATGTTGAATTTACAGGGAACAGAGCGTTCTGGTGAGAAAAAAGGGAAGAAACTTGGGACAAGTACTAGGAAAGTTGAAGGTTTTCCTTCAAGAAAACATTTCTGTTCTTTATGTATTCATCTTAATCCCATTGTATGGAAATGGATTAGGATTGTGGTCACAGCGAAGGCTATTTTTAGCCTAAAAAATGGGACACCATACAGAGGAAAATGACTGGTCCTGGTTAAAATTTTGAGCCTAAACCATGAAATCAGATGCATGCCATCTCCATGTACTTTCAAGTTGTGTATTCAGACTTGAGGTTTTGAAAAGTGTGGGTTAGATTTGGTTCCCGGCACACTTGGGACACACTCCTGCATGTGAGGGGAGGATCTGGGGTTTGTCTCAGTTACATTGGTTTAAAAACAGAAACAGTTGAGTAGCAGCTCAGGTCAGTGAAACAAGAGGATGAATCTAGAATTTAAAACAAAAGGAAATAAATCTTAACATGTTTGACTACCTTAACTGTTGATGAAACCTTTCCAGATCAAACATCTAAAGCAGTTGGGGTGATTTTATATAATCCTAGGGTTTCACAGTAAAGGATGCGGTAGAGCCAAAATAAAAATTATTAGTTTCAGTTTATCTGTGGTGACCAGCAAATTTTAAGTAATTGGAAAAGGAATAAATGACTAATAATCCCATGTGGTTTTTTGTTTTTTTTTTTTCTCTGTTGCTTAGGATTTAAGTTTTAAGTTTGCCCCCAAATAATGACATTTTCCGGGCATGGTGGCACACACCTTTAATCCCAGCACTCACACATCTCTGTGAGTTCAAGGCCAGCCTGGTTTACATAGTGAGTTCCAGACCAGCTGGGGCTACAGGGAGACCCTGTCTCAAAAAGACCAAAAAAAAATTTTTTTTTAAAACCAACCTATGTTGTACATTTCAATTAAGTGACTTCATGTAAAATTTTTATTTTATGCATATGAGTGGTTTTGCCTGCATGTATGTAAGTGCACTACATGCGTGCAATGCCTGCAGAGGTCAGAAGAGGGCATGAGATCTCCTGGAACTGGAGTTAGGTCCAGTTAGCCACCATGTGGGTGCTAGGAACTGAACCTGGGTCCTCTACAAGAGCAGCAAGTGCTCTTAACTGCTGAGCTGTCTCTCAAATTGCCTAACTGACATTTTATTGTGAGGAAAAGCTATGAGTTTGGACTTAGGCAATGGGATTCATAATGATGACAGGTACAGGAGGTGGGGACTTCCTCTGTCTGCAATTATAACCGTCTTAGGGCTCTCCACTTTTCCGAATGGTCTACTCCAGGCTGATGCAAGGGGTAGTCTTTGCACAGCTTACCTTAAGCATTTAAATGCCTCTCAGAAGGGAGCCAATTACCCTTGCCCTTCATGGAAAATGATAACTATGTGGCCTCCCTGCCTTTATTCCTGGCAGCCATAGGTAATCAACCTCAGAGCTCAGGATTAGTGTGCCTTGTCCCAAGCATCTTTACGTCATAGCTGTTGGACACCACTCCAAACTGTTTAGACAGGACATGGGAATTGATTCCCAACCTGATGCTACTAATTTGTATCTTTTATGAATGACTTTATTAAGTCTTTGAATTAAATCAGGTTTTGAGAATAGAAAAGAGAGGAAGTCTTAGGTTTCTGGATTTGAAGGGAAGGCTAAAGATGTTACCATCAAGAGTGGCTTATAAACCAGCCTGTAACTTTACAGATCGACATATAGAACCTCTATTACTAAGTGCCACATATTGTTACTAACACTTTTTAAAATTATTTTTTAGGTTAACACACAAAGTAATAGGTTTTGCTGTGGTAGATACGTACTCTGTTCTTCACAGCAGTTCAGGAAGAGAGAGAAAAAGAGAGGGAACGAGAGAGGGAGACAGAACCAGAGAGAGACATAAAAAGAGATACAGATAGGTAAAAAGACAGAGGGAGACAGAGAGACACAAAGATAGAGAGACAGAGACACAGAAAGAGACAAAGAGGCAGAGGGAAACAGAGCAAGAGAGAGCTGTCAGCTATACGTTGGCGAGATTAGAGCCTTCATGATATTTGAATGGTTTATCCGAGGTGAAGGAGCTGAGCTATAACCCAGAGCTGGAGGACCCACCTTCCTAGTGTGTGGAGACAGCTTGCCTCCAGAGTCCCAAAAACTTGAATGAGCTTGCCTCCAGACCTTTCGGCACAACAGCGTCTGTGTTTTCAGGATCGTGCTGCTTAGCAATAACATCAAACATTAATTTGAACAAACGAATCACTGAAACTTTTGTTTGATTTTATAGTTTCTACGTGACTTTTGTTTGATCTTTATAGTTTCTATGTGGTGATAAATAATGCAGCTCCTTGGAGATGATGTAAAAGATAAGATATTTTTTAGGTTCTTTTAACTTGTTTCCTTTATGTGTTTTCTTCTGGGACATTTGGTTCATGTTCATCACTACGTTTTCCACTTCACTGCACACATTTACCTGGTAAAATTTAAATAAAATACATGGGGAAAATATTGTATACTAAATACCTCATACTAGATAAAGATTTAAATTTGAGGATGATACAACTAATCATTTTTAGCAAGTACTAGTTTTGCATTTCAGTAAGCTCTTGTAATCTAGGTTAGCTTCAAACTGATTATGTAAATGAAGATGACCTTGAACTTCTGATCCTCCTGCCTCCACTTTCTGAGTCCTGGGATTAAGGTATGGGCCACCATGCCTGGTTTATGTGGTACTAAAGATGGAAGCTAGGTCCTTATGCATGCTAGGCAAGCAGTCTACCAACTGAGCTATTTTCTCAGTGCTTATGATGATTCTCCTCTGATGATATACAATTGTTTTAGAAAAATCCATTCAGGACTGGAGAGATGGCTCCGTGGTTAAGAGCAATGACTGCTCTTGCAGAGGACCCTGCTTCAATTCTTAGCACCCACATGGTGGCTAACAACCATCTGTAACTCCAGTTCCAGGGGATCCAACACCCTCGTCTGACTTACGCAGGCACTGCACAACAGGGGTGGACTTACATGCATGCAGGCAATACACTCATACACATTAAAAAAAGGAGAAATATTTTCTGAGCACTTACTATATGCAAACGTCATATTGTAATACCAGTTAAAATTCTGGGAAGAATGTCAGGCAAAGGATACTTGATCTTGTGAAAGTCATGAGAAGCCTCCAGTGTCCCCCAGTCCACCCTGCCCTGCACAGCTATGATCTGCCCTGCATCATCTCTAATGTGACCAGCACCCTTAGTGCCATTTACTAGTGCTGGGCCATTACTTAGTGCTGGGCTTCACAGCACTCATTTACCCTCTGCCCTGCATCAGCATCTTTAACCTGACACAGGTATTGGACTGTCATAGGACAATAGTACAATGGCAATGTGACCTGAATAAGTCTTCAGAATATTACTTGTACAAACCACAACTTATGGCTTCAAGTTTAGAATGAAAATAATGCCAGATGGAAGAGGGTAGACTGGAGAATATACTTCAGTGCCCCTCTTGGATCACACGTGACTCGAGCCACTGTAGTCATTGGTTTAGAAGAAACAAGGTGGGTGGGGGGGGGCTTCATTGCTCCAGTCCACTTGGTGTCTTCTCTGTTGTCTGATGTTTGCTCATTGCTGATTGCTGTCTTGTAGCTGCTCCGCTCTGCTGCCGATTGGTCTGCTGGTATAAAGTACCATGAGGAGTCCATCCACACTGCTTATATCCATGTGATAGAGAACAGCAAGCACTACATCTATATCGAAGTAAGTCTGTCGGTCACTGTTTGAACCTGCCTTCTGCAGTATCGCACAGTGACCATAGGGTCCCCAGCTTGGGATTCCATAATAATACGTGTGTACTGAGATATGAAGAGTGCTGGAAAAGTGCTGATTTGAGTCATCTGCATTTTGATCTCAAAGTGCCTGAAATTCACTCTGGACCATCCTTAACTCAATAATGGGAGTCTTCCAAATCCTTGTTGCACTAACATATTGGCTTACTATGACATTATTTGCTGTAAAGAACCCCAGCATGGATGTGTAAGTTTTCACTAGGCTTTGGTTGGAGGCTGTAGAATGAGGCATGTGCTGTTTAAGGGGAACAAACAGACATGCACAGGATAAGTTGTCCACACACGGGTGACTGGATGCCACAGCTCTGGGGATGTTGGAGGGTGTACAGAAGAGAGCATGGAAAAAGAAGACAAGAATGTCAGAGCTGTGAGCTTCCATTCATGATAAAGCCTCTTCAGATCCTGGGCTCTGCTCAGAGAACATGAGAGAATCTGGGAACATTGAGTTTAGTGTGGGAACTTTAATTGCACCTCAAAGTAGATGCAAAAATAGGACAGAACATTTGAAACCCCTGAGAGAAATAATCACGATAATGGAGCAGTGGGTAAGAGCCAAACCAAAACATATCTCTCTCCTTTATCCTAGTTTTTTTCCATTGAATAAAAATAAAGTGTTTAGAAGGAGGTTAACTACTGGGAAAACTATGCTAGCTCCATTTGTCTTCCCCTTGAGTCCTGCCCCTCTCCCTGTCCATAGAGTGACAGTTGTTTAAAGGTATTGCAGCTTTAC